ATATATACAGGCAGCTATTTACGAAACGAGTTACCGAGATTTGGCAGATGCTCGTGACAAGAATATCATGGTACATTGCATGCCTACATGGTAGCGCATGAAATAAGCACATGTTTCTCGAGTCAACTTGTGCGCCAGCTTGGTGCACGACACGTATCAAAGTCGCGTAAGCGAACATACGTCATGTACGTGTGCGCGACACAGCATTGGTCACTCAACGTTTCATTATCTTCATGATCGTTTCAAGGTGTGACATTAATATGCGTCCCTCTGTGAAACGGATCGCGGTGAAAGGGAGTCGCCATCATTTTTCTTCCCCCACCACGTATGGCCTTTCGACTCGGAAAAATTTTTTATTTTCTTCGTCTCATGCGTTTTTATACATATCTATGCACGCATATTTGCTCCAGATCGTTATTTCGTCACTTAGCATTTTATTACAAGGGTAAATACCTACAAACGTACGATCCTCCTTGTAAAACTTTTTGCTTTAAATTAATCCAACTAGAAATGTCAAAGATTATGGTCATAATCACAAAAAAAAATGTTCGGATTAATGAAACCGTCTCGTTAAAATCATCTCGTTAGGAATAACCTATCGAGCAACATCGGATCTCAGAGACCTAATACGCTATTTATCCTCGAAGCATCCCTCGGTCGTGAGAAAAAAAAAAGCAACACTCATGAAAATAAAGTTCTAAAGGAGGTAGCAGGAAACGAATTATAATTGTAACTCCACTTCGGAAGGTAGTCGGTAAGACAGAAATAATGTAAAAAGGAACAGTCAGTCGCCGTTTACCGTCGATCCCATTAAAGACTCCTTGTACAAGCATCCGTACTAGTTTGAAACAGAATTCCCTTTAAAACGAAATGAATTTGATTCGAATCTAGCATCGGCGGTTCTCACGATCTCCATCAAGATCAAATGAGAGAGAGGAGGACGGCGCACTCGCTGCAATCTTCTCGGTGCATTTTGCACCGAGAAGTACCAGAAGGATAATCGCGTGGAGGATCGTCGTCGTCGTCGACGATAGTCCGGCTTGACGAGCCAGCTCGCCAGACGAGTACCAGTGACGTAACGATTATCGAGTTCGTCCAATTCAGACAATTACGGTGCGGGTGGGAAAAGTGCGTTCGACCGCGTACCGCACTAACTACTAACTAACGAACCACGTTAATCCGGTGTTATGCTCCTCGATTACGTTATTCACGCAAGTGACATCACGCGGACGGAAGCGACGGTTGGTCGTAAGACTCAAACGATCTAGCCTCGGATTGCAGGACCGATTCGGTACCTCGTAAAAAAACTAGCTGCGTAAGAAATAAGGATGGATGTTTCCGAGGAGACGGAAGCGGTATCGGTAGAAGAAATCAAAGGTAGAGACCGCGATTGACAAGACTCGTTTTCCGAGAGAGAGCGATTACCATTATTATCGAAGATGACTTGTTCCGCCGTGGATTTCTCCGAGGTCGATTTGGTCTTTGGTCGTTTTCTCCCGTGGCTGATAACGCGCGATTTTCTCCCTTGCGGATGCTGCCGTTATAAAGCCGTAATCGCGCGGGCAACGAGAGGACCCAGTCGGGCGCACACGAGGGGAAGGGCGCGGGGAAAGGGACCCCATTAACCGGAGTGTTTAATATTCCGATCGAGAATGTTTTCATCGCGAAATTTGATGGCCTCGTAAAGATGATCGTTCGGGCTACCTTTTACCTACAGCAGCACGATCGGCTTTTCTGAGCGATCTACCGCTCTCGTGGTCCAATTTCGCGTCAATTAAATCGTCCCTGTGCCTTAAGGGCCCGATTAATTTTTTTACCCTCGCTAACGACAAAATCAGCTCGGTTAGCGATACCTCGAAAATTTCAGACTTTCCATTCGGTGGGAGATTTACTTTCGCTACCGCAAAAGAAAGTCCAAGGAAGGATAGAGGAGCAGTTAGTGATCGAGTTTGCGAACGAGCGAGGAAAAGTCAAGCGGACCAAGTTTCGCCTCGCGCATCCTGGGCGAAATCGAGCAAAGAAGCTTTTTTCCGAGACCGAATGGGATCTTCGCATCTCCGATAAAAACGATAAATTGCCGGCAAACCAGATCCGATCGGTGAAGACGATCGCTCACCGTTTCTCCTCGCGAATGGAAAGAAGCCGCGGCTAGTTGGGTAACGAGACCAAAATATCGCTCGTGACAAACTATCGATCCGTTTATGCGATCGAAGTGGAAGCCGGCCTCAGCGAGTGGAATCGCGGGACGTCGGATCAGGAAGGGCAGGGATGATCGGCCTGGTGTATTCCCGATCGACTCGTTCCTTCTCCCACTTTCGAGTCGCTCGAACCTCTCTCTTTCTCTCTCTCTCTCTCTCGATTCCGTGGAGCCATTTGTATCTACCGACACCGCGATTGGCTCTGCCATCCTCCGTTAGGTTGGCGAGCAACGCTACAGGGACACGTATCGCGTTAGGGTTAAGGTTAGACACGATGAGGTCTTAATTGGCAGACCGATAATGGCAATCGCCGAGCGCGCCTAATTAATTAGCGTGCCGAACAATAATTAATTATGTAGAAAAATCTACCAGGACTCGAGAAGCGGATGACCCGAGTCCGTCTCCGTCTCCTAGGCGCTTCCCTGGATCCGCGACGGGTCCTCTCGGCACGAGGAAGTCGGGATCGCCCCGGGTGTCGAATTAAACTCAGGCATCTCGAGGAGCGATCTACGAGCAATCGACGAGTGGTCGGCGAGCGGTCGCGCCTTCCTTCTCTGCCCTCGCGCTTTCTCTCGTAGCCGGCGCGGGACGGCGAATCCTACCTCTCCGTCCGCGAGTCGAGTCCTTTTCTTGACCGCGAACGTGCGTAACTGGAAACGAGCCGCCCCTCGAGAACGACCCCGTGAAAGCGGCCGAGGCCGGCCCTGCGGCCATGCTTGGCTCTACTCCGAATCCCCGAGACTGGTTCCTGGATCGCTCTGACATATTTCGTCGAGTCCCTGTGGGCCGCGAGCTCCTCTCCGCTGCCACCCGGGGCATGAATCATCCCACGGCGACACATAAACATCGACGCCCCTAACCTCCTCGTGCCTCGGCGAGGCCTCGCTTTGGGTGACCACGTCCGGATTTCAAACTTTACGCGCACCCTTACGGTAACAGGAATGCCAGACGAAACAGAAATTCTGCATCCGAAGGCAAAGATCTCCTCTTAAACTCGTCGAAGAAACAGCAAGGGCATTCTATAGGTTCTGGGAAACATTCTTGATAAAGGCGATCGCAATAGTAACAAAAACGATTAATCTGTATTTTAATCCCAGGCATTTTTTTCTCCAAACTTCCTCAGTAGGCGATTTAATAAAGAACCAGGAACTCCAAATTTCTCCTCGAAGCAAGAGTCTACGTATAACGTATTTCCTCGCACAATTTATAATCTAATTAAAGAAATGCACTCCTCTCCTTTAACAAATAAAAACGTGACTTATCGATTCCGTCTCTCTATATGCAGTAGTCGGATTGGTTCATCCAAGTAAACGAAGCATAATTTATTTAGCCTAACTGAATCGTTCACTCTAGATCTGTAGGGTAGTTTCTTTTTTACCTCTGACACCAGGTTTTTACGCATCCAATGATGAGGTCTCGTGACTAGTCACATGTTATGCATGGGGACAAAAATTGTTCATGAAAATCCCGTGGCTATCGCATTAGGATCATAATACGGGAAGGCTGGATTAGTTCTCAGGTGCTCGGCTCTGGGGGCTGGAGTACAAAAAAAAAGGAAAAAGGAAAAATCGGATACAGGCGGTGCATTTGGCGGGCTTGGAGTAGGCCAGATTAGGCGGGCGTCCCGTAGCGTAGGTTAGTTTCCATGGGGTTTCGCGCCGAGGCGCGTTGGGGGGACGCCCTTCGCCCCTGGGGGAAAACTCGACTCACCCCTCCGTCCCCGTCCCTCGTCGCGGCACCCATGTTGCCCCTACTAACCCGGTGACTTGTAACCGAGGGAGATTTTCAGGGGGTCATTCACGCTGGGTCGGTGAGTCGAATTCCAAGATGGCGGCCTCTTGGGTCCGTTGATTGATCGAAGTCAGTATACTGTAACAACATAAATTTCAGATCGCCGGGGGGCACTCGAGTGGATTCGACTGAAACCGAAATTGAATTATTGCAATGGCTTAATCAGGGGTTACTTGTCTTACTTCCGACACAAATAAAATCGATTTCACGGTTTTTCTTATTCGGATAAGTGTTTAAAATACTGCACCTGGAAGAGCGGTCGAAAATAACGCAAAATTGAAACCTAAATAACAACTGTACGATTCCTTCATTAAGGAACGGTACGATTTTTGGTTTGTCGGGGTAAAAAATTGAAATTCGATCGTTCTCTCTTTCAATCCCCCCGTGTAATCCGATTTCGATTGTCGTGGTCGCTAAACGGCTAAAGCCCCTGCTTAAGTGCACCAGTCGGAAGAAACCGCTGCCTTATGTTCCCGAGCAACGTCATCTCGTCGTAGATGGCGTCGATGCATAAGAAACGAGGGGAGCGAGAATCTTCGGAGGAAAATAAGAGGATCGGGGTGGAAACTGGAAAGCGGATGCCTCGGTTCCCTAGCGCGGTCAATATCGTGACAGAATCGAGTCTTCGCGGAATTAATGAAAAGACACAGAAGATACCGGTTAGAGCTTGGCTCGAAAGCTTTGCGGCGGCGCTGCGATCGGCCGGCAGACCCAGGTGGTTGGGACGAGGAGAGCGCTACGCTCGGCCGCCTGGGAGCGACGAGGAGAGCCGCCGTGGGACGGAGCGCGCGACAGAGAGGGCGCTCGCGCGGCCGAGGCGGGAGCGAGAAGGACGGAGGAGCGGCGAGCGGCAGGTCGGTCGGTGGGGGGCGCGCCGGGCCCGGGCCGCGGCGCGAGAGAGACGGAGCTCGAGCGCCGGGGGAGCGACCGAGACGGAGAGGGTGCGCGCCGGGGGCGCCCTCTCGGCGGTGCGCGCCAGAAGGTTAGGTTAGTCCGTCGCCAGCGCCCCGAGAACGTTGCACGCCGTGCCTCGGCTCTCTCCCAAGAGACAGCGATCTCGTCGCTCCGATTCGCATCGCCGTCGGGGACGCGCATGCCCGGGCGCGCGAACCGTCGACGACTCGAAACCGACCCCGGCCGCTCTTCGCGGACCCCGAGTCCGAGGCGCTGGACGGTCGGACGCGCGGCGAATTCGAAGTGGCGCCTGACCGGTCGGTCCCGGTTCTGTGACACGTGAAGTTTCAGTGTGAGTTAGAGTGAGAAGGAACCTACGGCTCGAAGGCCGAATCGCTCCGATCGACCCCGATGGTGAACGTTTCGGGAAACTCGCGAGTCTCGAGAGCGCCGGTCGCGGCCATGGATCCCAGGGCCCTGTCGGTCGCCAAGAACACGGGGTAGACGCAGACCGCGTCGTCCGGAGACGACGCGACCCTGAGACGAACCGAGCGATCGCGGAAGGACATTCGAGGGCGGAAGACCGACCGGCTTCGCGGACCCTGAGACGACGGAGGGCCTCTCGCGGCGCACGTGGGACTCCCCCCGACTCTCGTTTGCTCCTTGTTATTCCTTGCCATATAGTTTATTTATTTTTCCCTCTTCCTAGATACCGATTCCCCCTCCATCCCGGTACTCGACCCTGCCTCTTGAGATCAAGAGCGGTACTCCGGAGAGTTCAACGTCGTTTCTAGAAGTCACGTATACTCGGAGATCGTTTCATCCAAGGATCTCGCCCTTCCCTGGCGCCGTTGATCCTCGAGATTCCTTGGACGCCCAAGCCCAACAGGGGGAAGAACCCGCGTCTGGGATCCCGCAGAAGAGAACGCGCACATCCTGACCCGTCTCGGCCGGACATCGCGATGTCGCCCGCTCCCAGGAGAAACGAGGCACGCGTGGCTCGCGCCCTCGCGCTATCTCGTCGACGTTGCGCCTGACCCGTGAATTGATATCGCGCCTCCTCCGAGCCGGGCTCGTCCTGGGCGGCGCAGTGAACGGGCTCTCTCCTCAAACCAGTGGGAATCGGGAGGGACGATATTTTAGAGCGGCGACCGCGGCGCCAGGAAGTGCTCGCCGAGACTCGCCCAGAGAGGACTCTTGGGAGTGCGTAAACAAGCTCGCGCGTCCTCGAAGGACCCTTGCAAGAGCCCTCTCGGAGTGCCCGAGTATTCTCCGAAAATGGCGTAAATACTCCAGGGCCCTCGGCCGCGAGATATGAGGACTAATCCTCGGAGCGCCTCTCAGAGCCCGCATTCGACCGACAATGAATCTCACGAGGGTGTTTCTCCTGCTGATACTCGCCGTTGGCTCGAGGTACGTTTTCCGATCCCTCGTTTTGGGGGCAACAGCTGTATATATTCCTCTCGTTATCGACTCTTCCTAGGAGCGTGCTAGAAACGGACGTATCGCTCGGTAGATACGGCTGTCGAAACTTCAAATGTGATTTCATCTTGTAAAGTGGTGCATCTTGAACAGGAAATTATTTTTATGACAATTCCGAGGTCTATCAGTGGAATGGGTCTTCCGACTGTCGGAACGTGGAATATCTTATTTTGAGGAAGGTTATTTTGTACGCGGATATAAAGCTTCCATTAGAACAAACATTGCAGTTTTGGGGGAAAATGTAAGAAATATCACGAATCTAAATTTGAGATAATCAGGGTCGAGCCGATTTAAATCGTTTGATTAACATCGATGACTAAAAGCATCGATCATAATCGACTAATTTTTATTTTTTTTAATCACCATTCTTATAACAGGCTGGGTACCGCTCGGCAGGATCGCAATGTTCGCGATCTGATATCAGAAAATATTACCGCATGAGACCAGGAAATACATTATAATCAGGGTGTTCTACGATTTTACTACAGCGCGTCACTAATATCACGCGATTTTAGTATCTGTAACCACTTTTATAAAAAATAATATGTAAACGTATATTAAAGCGGCACTATCGAATCGCTAGAATCTGTAGGGCTAAAAAATTGGAATAAAAACGTTTAGTTGCAAAAATAGAATAATCGGTGTTCTTTAAATATTTAAATAAAAATCATCTCACTCCCATCCTCATAAAAACAACGGAAAATAATGCTTAAAAATAATCCTTAATAAACCTAGCTTAACTATTGTGACTCTTCAACTCAAATACTGATTTAGATGCTTTTTGGTTGCTTTGTCTTTTTCTAATATTTGAAAGCGCGAGCCTGGATGTACTTTTTATTTATTTTTTTTGTAAGAAATCATAATTTTTGTCCGTCCTGGGGATAATTGTACGGTCTTAATGATTCGAGATGTAATGAAATTCATACACTTCAAATCATAATAGGGTATGATGGTGACACGTGGTAAATGTTTAAGAAGTAATGGTTAATTTCATAACTCGCATTATTCGACATGCCGCGATACTCCCCTGCTTTTTTTACGATAAACACCGCGTACTCGTTACCGTAAAATCGTCCTTTTCGAAATGTTACGTAAACATTGGCGTAATTAAAGTTACAGGAGGACGCATGTGTTTACATTCTGTCGGTTTGCCCGGGTACCAACACTAGAGTATTCCGTCGATCATGAATTCAATGAATCCACCGTCTGGATAATTACGAACCCTGTGAATTTTCCCTGGGCTGAATAATTACAGTCGATGCTTCATTATTATGGATTCATCGTACGTACAGTTAGATGTACACGTTGCGTGGAACGTAGAACCAGTATCGAGTGTACTCTCGCGTACACGAAGGAACGAGATACTTGTGAAATAACTGGTCAATTGTCTCGCATTCCCATTGTCACAGAGAGCATCGATTTTCCGTTTTGCGTAGCGATTAAATGTCGCCAGTTTTTCGTTTCGATGCCGACCGCGATTGTTCGGAGTCGATGTACGCGATACCCTTGTTTGGCGATAATAGCAATCCAGGGCGTTATTCCAATTTCGCGCTTTCTTTCCCACGAGGATCTTAGTCATCGAGGCAAATAACCTAGCCCGTAATTTAGCATGTCGGCTAATCGTTAACGGTGACTTTTCTTTGCAGATGTGTGTGCACGAGCGGTTTCACGGGTCAGAACTGCGAAAACGAGTACATCCCCTGCGACCCGTCGCCTTGTGAGAATGGCGGGTCGTGTCATCAGATCGACCAGCTTGCCTACAAATGCAGCTGTCCGGAAGGTGAGTCCTTTACGAAGTTTCGCCCCGAAATCCCCTAAGGATGATCTTCTGGTTTACATTATCCCGTGGCCGCGGGTGCACCGCCGAAAGCGGCGTTTCAACCTGCCAGAAATGCTCGTGGCGAACCCAGGGAAGAGCCAGGAACGGATTTACGAGTGGGGTAAACGGGTTACAAGAGGTTATTAGGAAGGCAGAATGGCGCGGCCCCGGGAGGAATGCCCTAAGGGTCACGTTACAAAATTCAGATTCGTTGCCGCTTGAACGTGTCCGGATAATCCGGAGATATCCTTCGGCAAATTCCTCGCAACCGGAACGAGATTGGTTCGAGGAATCGGGTCCTGTTTACAAGGGGGTAGGAACCCTAACCTTACGTGAACTACGGATACTTAGAAGGTTCCACGAACGTTCTTTTCTTTATTACGCGTCCCTGGCTCGATTCATTTGCGTGCGCCGGTCGATAGCGTTACACAAATGATATATTTAACTTGCTTCACGAGATACGCAAATCGTCTCCCCAAAGGAGAGATACCACGTGGTAGCCCGACGTGCTAAAAGCCGACATAAATTCGTCCCTGGTAGTAGCTATCCCACATCGTATTTTACATACGAACCGAATCATAGCCGATGTAAATTCCTATAATTACCATGGTAGCTAACGGTGCCGATCCGGACCCTGGAGTGCATCGTATTTTTTCCACCCACTACTCCTGCCTCCGAGAAAGAGTCCTTTCCTCATTGGTCATCGGAGCCAGCAGGTAGGCCGGTCCTCTGGGGTAAATAACGAATCCGATTAAAGATTCAAGAATGCCGCTCCTTTCGTTCGACATTCCCGAAATACTTGGATAATTATGGTAATCGAGTGCCTATTGAGGACCGCCGATGAGCGATCGCTCGCGGAGTCGCATCCTCGGGTTCAACGCGGAAACCTCGGCGTCCTCGAGGAGCCGGTATAAAAATATTGTACACTCGCGAGAGGTCTTGAATTTTGGTCGGGGTCGTGAAAGGTGCCCAAACCTGCCCCCCCTCGGTCCTCGCAGTCGTCCGACGAGCTCGAGGAGGATGTATAATGCTCGAATGGCCGAACACTCGAACGCTCGAATACTCGGCCGCCGGCGCTCGATAGCTCGGAGTAAGAGCCAGGAACGTTTCGTCCACAATGGAAGGCATTCAGGATGCTCCCCGCTGAAATCAATCTCCTCCGGGTCTCTCTCCCGGCGTGCCCTAACCTCTTCCCCTGCGTGCCCCCTCCGCGGCCGTCTCTGTCTCTCGTTCCTCGAAGCCCCGTAATTGGTATTGTGCCTTAATCGAGCCGAACTGTTTGCTCGTCTCGATAATTCCACCAAAGGTCTCGCCTTGATTCGCGGATAATGCCTCACCGCTGGTGCCGGGACCTGGCTCGTTCGATTCGTTTATACCTTTGTGATTGCATCCTCGCGAAGTGTCCGTCCGGATCGAAGGGTCTCGGAAAGATTGCCCGCGCTTATGCCCTCGTTGCCCAGAGAGGGAACGTCTCTCTTTTTTTTTTATCTCGAATATGTCTGCGGTCCACGTGGCCGACGACGGGGGAGTCCGCGCCGAACAACCGGCGCGAGAGGACCTCGCCCGGTTGGTCTCGATTCCTAACCGTTTACGGGAATCCGTGATAACGTCGTTACGCGATACAAGTGTAACGACGATAGTAGAAATCCGCCCTGGTACGATGAATCTAGATAAGGAAATTCAAACGTTATGAATCTTGGATGATAAGTATGTAATCGAACAAAGCCAGCGGGGACCACGAGGAATGAACAAGGACTAAAATTAAAAGGCGCATTCCCCATTTCATGTTTGATAATCAAGGTATTCTCGTTAGTGGGCTTCAGACATTAACGAGTCTGATATGAGACGCGAGACCGAGCAATCACACTTTGCGATGAGGTTTCTCTGAGGTGTACCGATGAGTGCCCCCTCTTCGACTTCCTGCGTCCTTTTGATTTCGATTGCCTTCCCGGTTCCGGGTTTGGGAAGAAAATCCCTTTACGTCCCGGAAATTTACCGCGCTTACTTCAAAAGGTTCTTCTCCGCTATAAGTGCCGTTACCCACCGATCCGGCTTCGCACCCATGAACGGATCCCCGGAATCCCCCCTGTACTTTGGGAACCTGCACGTTTCCTGTTTCATCCTCGGCCTCTTTCGGGTCGTCCTTTCCTGGCTTGTCCTTGACACAGCCTCCTACGAACAAAAGTGGAGGCCTGCGATTGTCCCGTAAGAACAGGTGAGGGTCTGACTCTTTTTCCCACCCATGGAGAGAGGCCACGCGAGAGCTCGTTAACGGCGACCAACGGTGGGCTCGGGACGGCTGCTCGTTAATGTTCGATGGAAAAAGACGAGAGGAAGGTCGGGGAGTATAATTTGGAAGGAGGTCGCCGAGGGGGAACCTGCCCCTTCCGGTTACACCCTCGCAGTCGCCGGAGCCAGCGGCGACCTCCTTTCCTCTCTCCCGACCCAATCTTCGGGGACACGAGGACGGAGACCGCTAATTTGCCAGGGATTGCGCACTCCCGACTCTGCACGCCTAATCGTCCATTCGGCCTTATCCTTAATGCCCGCCACGTTCACAGGTACCGAGAATCGGACCCGAGATGTCAGGATCCTGGACCCTTTTTCGAGTCCTGCGGTCCTTCGCTTTTTACGGTCCGCTTGCGAGGACGCCTCGGGTCGGAGTCGGCATTCGTGCCGGAAAGTATAACACATAGTTTCTTGGTATTTTTGAGATTGAACTATCGAGGAATTCCGGAAAGAAGGATTCCGCCCTGTAATGGACCTCACAAGAAAGGACACCGTGCTTCCTCTTAATTCGATTGAAGAATCTCGCAAAAGATATTTATACCGAATGTTCAATCCAGGCTTTTCATCGACTAATACACCTCTGTTTAGTTAAAAAAAAAAAAAACTCGTAACGTTCATTTCGCATGTAAATGAAACGATTACAATTTTAAGTCCCAAAAACGGGATCGTTTTTTTTTGTCCCCGTTATTTTCATCGCTCGGTTTTACTCTTTCTTTCTAATTGTACCCGTGACGGCACCTTTGGCACGTCAATTTCGGGATCGGACTCAAAGGTCTTTTCCTCTTTCCACTCTGATTCCCCGTGGAAGACCCGCTTCGTAACCTTGCCCGGTAACCTCAGTGACAAAAGCAAGACGGTGATTACCCGGAGGATTACAAGGAGAGCACCCTCCTCCGAGGGGCACGACTCTCGCATAAGCTCGTACGAGCAAGTCATTTTAATGCGATGTCTGAGGTCAGCGTAGCGTGGCCTCCTCGGAAACAGGAATCACAATATGTGGTCCTGCACTTTCCCAGGCGGGGCACGACCGTGGCGATCCCCACCTTGCGCGGCACGGGGCCGATCGCCTTGCTCCTTATCCCCTGGAGTAGATTTTCTTACCTAATGGCGACCGGGAAAGCCCGTTCCCCCTCTTCGAGTCCCCGGGGGTATTAACTTCATTGCCCTCTTCCGGAAGCCCTTTCGAGACGCCGACCGGATCCACCGGTTCCGATGGATCCGCGCCGGCGACCACGTGGCTTTTCTTTACGCGTTGCGTAAATAAAAAAGAACCATCCAGAGGAATCACTCGCTTCGGGCCATCGTCGCAAAGTGCTTTAAAAAGTGATCGACTCGTTCACGCATAACAGGCATCTTGGACCGACCGGATTTGGTTAACACGTTCCAAGCCACGTGTATCACCGGTGGTACACGTTAAAGTTGATCCTCGGGCCACGTGTACCACCGGTGGTACACGCAGACATGTACATAAAATGCGCTGAAAACGTACGTTTACGACAAATTTCATTCTGTAAAATATATTCTACTCTAAACAAGATAACTGCGTATGGACTGATGATGTAATGAAATATTGTGTGATAATATATCAATCTTTAGTCAAAATATCAAATGGCCTGAACGTCAAATCAGGCAAAAAGGGCTTGGCACGGAACGTGTTAAGCGTCGAGTCGTAACCACGACTCTAATATCGATTTCAGGCCCTTTCGAAATTTCGGCACATGTCCCTCTTGGTCTCGCTCCCCGTATACGATTTAACGCCTTCACCGTGGAAACGACCCGCGTGTCCCGTAAATCCAAAGAAACCCCCGAGACTCTGCCGGCTATTCGCGCGAACCCGTTAAAGGAGTGCACCTAATCGTGGGGAAAAATGGTTACCCCGTCGCTCGGTCTACTGGTTCCATTTATATGTTCGTTATCGCTCGGTGGGAGCATTTCTTAATTTCTTAATAATTTGAATACCCAGGATAGGAAGTGTTTACGAGGCACGGAACTTGAAGGAGACATACGAGCGCCGGCTTTATCGCCGCCTGCCACGAACGGCTGCCTGCCAGTGACTGGACTCACCGGTTCTGGCAGATAAACGCCAACGACCGAGCGACTCCTACCGACACGCGGCGCCAGGAAAATCATCCTCGTCGTCGTAAGGACGGCCGCGAGGACGCTCGTAACTAACGCGGCCACTCCCGGTCGGCTTCCTCGATCGCGACCGGATTCGGTCCCCGATCTCGTCGTGACGGTTCAATTTGCGGGATCGGTCCTCGTAACTTCTCCCTCGTGACAGCCGCCGGCGTCTCCGTTCTACGGGAAGATCGGCGCCGTTTAACGGAGCACGAGCCACCTCCGCCCTCCCTTTCCACGGGACGAGGTTTCCCGCGGCTCCTCCTCGACGATCGGAATCGCGCCTCCCCGGTCCGTTCTCGCTAATTAGAAACCGCTCTATCGGCCGCGGTTAAACGATTAACCGCACGCCCATAGATTAATCGCGCATTGCGAGATCCTACGATATTCGCCTTCTCCATTCGTAGACCTTTCCTTCTCTCCTCGTCCTCCGGAAGGTTCCTCCGCCGGCAAAAGCGCCGCTTGGGCTCCCCCGCTTTCCTCCTCGGGGAAGGGGAACACGTTCCCCGGGAAAAAGCTTCCTTACCGATGGACGAAGGGATCTATCCCGGTTC